AATTGGGTGAGTCATTTCATGAAAGTTTTGTTTCGAATGTTATTTTCCATTTTTTCGGTTTACTTCGGATTGGATAGAAGTTCGAATTTTTGGACTCGTTGTTTTTCCTTATCGACGACATATAGATTACCGTGTCGATCGAATGATAAACCGACGGGCCAATTGAGTTGGTTCGATTGTTCTCCACTACCGTTTCCACCAACAATGACACTTCCTTGTGTGGCTCCTTTAGGCCAACGCATGATTCGATCATTTCCTCGATCAGCCACATAGACAGTGCCCAATTGATCGACAACGACTCCTTCTGGAGATGACAATTGTGTAAGACCATTTCCTTTTCCTTGACCACCAGCCACGACAATGCCTTGTTTTGCACCTTCCATCCATTTCATCACACGATGATTGTCCCATTCAGTTACGTACACTGAATGATCTCGATCGACGAATACGTAGTTTGGGGCAAAGAGTTGATCGAGACGATTTCCACGTCCATTGCCACCTGCAACCACTGTTCCTTGAGATTCTCCTCTTCGATATCGTCTCACTTCATTTTTTCCAAAGTCAGTGACATAGAGAGATCCATTCTCGTCCATTGTCAAACCCCAACAACGGATGTTGGAGATGATTGTTTCTCCATTTGTCCCATTTCGACGAGGCCATCGAACCACTCTTCTATTCGAACGATCGCAGATGATGAGACTATCTCTCTCTTTGTCGATAATCACATCTCTTGGGTTAGACAATTGATGATCTCCACTTCCTTGTCCATTTCCACCGGCAACCACTTGGCCACTCGTTGCACCTCGTTTCCATTCCATAATACGATGATTCGACCATTCAGCAACATAGATTGTTTGATCATCATCAACATACAAACCCAATGGGTCTGAGAGTTGATTGACTCCATTGCCTTGTCGATTTCCTCCAGCTACAGTGATACCATTCTGTTGCCATCGAGCATTCGGATGAATGTTGGTGCTGGATGGAGAACGTAATGGATAGTCTAAAATAGAGACAAGAAAAATTATTTAAATAAGAGAGAGAAATTTTCTCTTCATAGAAATCGAATTTTATTACAAGACGAGAAATCCTTTTTAGTCAAATTCTCAACTTTGTTAACAACAATTATTTTTTTAACTCTTTTTTTTGTTTTTTTTTGCTTACGATTATAGAGAATGTATGAGAAAGATGAACACATTGAATGAGAAGGATGGGTATTCTTCTATGATTTTGCAACTAATTCATGTATAAAAATCATGTAATAATCAAACTAGTTTTGGTATATGTTGACGGCTCATCTCTGTCTTGTAAGCATGTCTTTTATTAAATTGCTGATCTATGAAAAGTCTCTCGAATTTTTGAAACATTATTCTATGAATTATATATGACATATTTCTTGTTTTACTTTCATTTGCAATTATCTCATCAAATTGTAAATGCGAGAAACATGCAACATTTGTCGATGTAAACTCGCTTTATACTCGACTAAATATTCGGCTCTTTTGGTATTTATACTTCTTTACAGCTCTGAACAAAGCTATTATCCAACATTTGAAAAAGTATGTGTGTATGGATGCTGTTACTAGTGTCAGTCTCGTTGTGCATGATGGTATGTGTGTCCATGTAAGAATTTTTGTCATAAACTCATCTCATCAAACTGGTATCCACACATCGATACTCAACAGAAATCTAAATGAACTATACACACACTAGAAAAAAACAGATTATATTTACAATTTACTGAAAGGAATCACGAAGCAAGGAGGGTAATCGACTGATATAAAAATCAGCTAAAAACTCAAAATTAAATCTGTTAAATCATCTTAACTCATTTTAAATCAGCTTTTAACTCATTGTAACTCAGCATAAATCCTTTTAAATCAATATAGCTTAAAAAAAAATTCTTACAGTCCAAAAAAATATACTCAAACTTGATATTTTTGTTCAATCACTATTTATGGTTTTTTTTGAAATTATTAATTAAAATCAAACAATTCATACTAGCATACAATCATTGAATATTTTCTTTATATCTTATAGCGTAGAATATATTTCGCTCTGTTCTACTAATATATATAGAAAAAATGTGATACAATTGACGATAAAAATATTCTAACGAATGAATGCTTTTTTTCATTCTTATATAACTAGACTACGTAGAATAAAAAAAAACAGACAAAGAGAAAATTCAATCCACCTCGTGTATCTACACTGAAATGAAGCGATTCGAAATTTATATTATTTTTTTATCTGTTATCATTCTTTAGATCGATTATTTTCATATGACCATTGTGACGGATTCTACCCGTCACTACTCTTAATGTTCTATTCATTAATCATTCTCTCTCGTTTTTCTCTCTGCTGGAATATATATACTGCGTTCATATATTATCGTTATTCATTATTGAAATAATCTCAGAACGAGTGAGTCGTTCCATCACACGTGGCGATCACACCAATCGAATTTTGGTTACATTTTTCCCTTCACTTCAGAACATTATTTTTTTTTAAATTTTTCATCTTGTTCTTTGGTTTTTTTTTTTTTTCTTTTCTTTTTATTATTATTAGTAGTCTTCTATTTTTCTGTCTTACGTTAGCACGATCCTATTTTAACTATGACCGAGTCTGACGGGCAGATATTACATAAATATCTCACTAGTCTTCGAGATGAACTACAACTTGAAGCAACACGCACAACTTCTATCGAAAACACGTTGACCACCGTACAGTCCACAGTAACTCAATTCGAACAGAATTTCAATGAGAAAGTAAATCATCTCTCCACGGCTCATGAATTAAAATATCAGCAATTAGATGACACGATTCAAACACCTAGATACTCAATTTTAGGACTTTCGTACTTATGTTTCTACACAAATATCCGAATTAACGGCTGAAATTCGTGGAACACTTGCTGCTGTTCGTACTTCCCCATCCGTACCCTCTCCAACAACTCCATTACCTCTCTCTTCTTCTAATAACTCCATACACTCTCATTCTTTAGTAAATGGTCCTTCTCCACAAGACACCTTACTCTCTCTCTCTCTCTCTCTCTGCACAACAAACAGTCATCATCCAACAACCTACAATAGCTCCTTCTTTTTCAGGCAAAACTGAAGAAAAACCACGTCCATTCCTCTTACAACTCCATCAATATACCAACTCATCTTATGGATGGGACAAAGAAATGTTACTTCAAAATATAGGCCAATTTTTGAAAGATACTGCTTTTGAGTGGTATACTCAAATCGAGCAAGAATGGAATAGATGCATTCAACGACCTGATGAATCAATCAACGAATTTCTCGTTCGTTTACACAGTCTTTGGTCAGAACATAAACCGAACGAAACGGAGCGCCATCTTGTTAGACACCTTTTTACTAAAATTCGACCTGCATTAGTCCCTCTGATCGGTGTTCTTAGCGATCCTACTCTTGAAAATTTTCTTGAGCGAGCCCAAGAAGCTGAACTTATTGATTTTTCCCGTTCCAAAAAAAAATGCGCATATTGAAAAAACTAATACTACTATTTCAGCTACTCTTCATTCGTCAACTCGCTCCCACACATCTAATTCTCGTCAATCTCATATTATCTACTATAAATGTAATATTCCAGGACATTTAGCATCCCAATGTACTCGTACTCAATCTTCCAGATATCCTTCAAATTCAAAAAACTAAGACGGAGTCTTACTGATGGGAGGTGGCGAGGCTCCGAAAATTATCTAAATAAAAAATCCTCTCTCTCTCTCTCTCTCTCTCTATTAGTTCTATCCATAATTCTTTCATTTCTTCTTCCCAACTATTACATGTCAATGGTACATTAGAAGGGTACCCAACAAAATTTACTATTGACACTGGCTCGAATTTAACTGTACTTAGTGTTGAGGCATTTCATCAAATCGAGCAAAAGTCATGCAAACTTATCCCTATTAAATCTCCATCCCTAACAGTACGTTGTGCTAATGGACAATCTTTACGTACACACGGTCTCTTCGAATTGAACATTTCTGTATCATCGGCTTGGATTTTTTACGAAAACATGATATTCATGTCGGCGGTACACACGATCAAATTATTTTTCCGAAGCAGTCACAAGATACAAATTCTTTTGCATCTCAATCGCCATCTCTCGATCAGTGTAACACTTCTTCTCTTACCTCTTCCAATTCGTCATCATACTCTTTAGCAGCTATTGAAGCACATTCTTTACCTCCATACCACTCTATGATTATCCCTGTTCAACCTACGAAACCATTCTCTAAATTTTCTCCAGATGAAACATATTCCGTTTCTTCACTTCATGAAAATCCTCGTGTAGGCAATGGTCTTATCTCACCAAGTAAATCACTTTTTATTGAAATCTCAAATTTTTCTCATGATTCTATCGAGGTTCATCCTCAACAAAAACTAACCGTTATGGAACTATTGACTGAACATCAATTGAATAGCATATCAAGATTATCTCATACACCTCATCCTATTGAAGAAGAACAAATATGTCTCCCTGATTTATCCTATTCTGACTTAAACGATATTCAAAAAGCTAAACTAGTTACACTTATTAAACAATATCCACAAGTTTTCATCGAGAAACTTGGTCGGACTCATCTTGTTAAACACGTAATCGAACTTCAACCAGGAACACAATCCGCAAACACTCAACCATATCGTCTCCCCCCATCTAAAAAAGCTATAGTCGATCAACAACTAGAAGAGATGCTCCAAGCTGGTCATATTACTCCTTCACATAGTCCTTGGGCATCTCCAATCGTATTATCCCCTAAAAAAGATGGTACACTCAGATTTTGTGTTGATTATCGAAAGTTGAATGCTAATACAATTCATACAGCATATCCTATGCCTCAAGTTGACGATACCCTTGATTCACTCAGGGAAGCAAAATTCATATTTACTCTTGACCTTCGATCGGGATACTGGCAGGTTGAAATTGATTCTGAAAGTCGTAATAAAACAGCGTTTATTACTCACCGCGGCCTCTATGAATTTTTAGTCATGCCTTTTGGACTGTCTAATGCTCCTGCCACATTTCAGAGATTAATGGATCTTATCTTAGCTGGAATAAAATGGCAGTCATGTCTTGTCTATATAGATGATATTGTCGTATTCTCTTCCACCTTTGAACAACATCTTAAAGATTTATCCTCTGTCTTTGATCGTCTCAAAACTGCTGGACTTACTCTTAAAGCCTCAAAATGTGATTTTTGTAGAAAAGAATTAAAGTACTTAGGACATATTATTACTCCTGACGGTATTAAACCTGATCCCGGTCTAATCGACTCCGTGAAACGTTTTCCTCAACCTACACGATTAAAAGATATTCAATCATTTTTAGGCTTAACTGGATACTACAGAAAATTTATAAAAGATTACGCTAAAATATCCGAACCTCTCCTCGCTAAAATACGTTCTCATCAAAAATCTAAATGTCCACCAAATAACATGGAATGGTCTGTTGAATGTACTGTAGCCTTTGAACGATTAAAAACTGCACTTACTCAGGCTCCTTTACTTCGAGCTCCAAATTTTAATGAACCTTTCATTTTGGAAACAGATGCCTGTGATTATGGTCTTGGTGCTGTCCTTACTCAAGAATATGATAATAAAAAATTTGTTATTGCTTACGCTAGTCGAACTCAAACAGCAGCTGAGAGAAATTATTTTCCTACAGAAAAAGAAGCTCTAGCTATTTATTGGGCCACCAAACATTTTCGGCCCTATTTAGAAGGTACAAAAATCTATATTCGATCTGATTGTAGGGCACTACAATGGCTTCTTGAAACAAAAGATTCGTCTGGACGATTAGCTCGATGGGCAATAAGTCTATCAGCATTTAACATTGTTAGCATCAAATATAAACCAGGAAAAACAAATACAAACTCTGATTCATTATCTCGTTATCCTCTCCCTAATCTAGCTGTGTTAAATGGAACAACACCTACATCTACACTCAATTTTTGGGACAATTGTACTCTCCTCGAAAATATCCGAATCGAACAATATAAAGACCCTCACCTTCATATTATCATTGATAAATTATCAGGTCTCAGTCATCCCTTCATTAATAATCCCTATCCCTCTTTTACTCTAATTAACGGTATTCTCTATAAATGTCGATCTCCATCAAAAAATATCTATCAGCGATCAGTCGGACTTCCTCACTTACTCGTTATTCCGAAACCTATGCAACAAGAACTCCTATCTTGGACACATGATCATTCGACAGCCGGACATAGTGGTAGAGAAAAAACTCTTTATCGTCTCTCAAGCCGAGTCTACTAGGATACTATGCGAAAAGATGTCACTCAGTATATTCAAAGTTGTCAGTCATGTCAGAAATTCAAATATTCTAATCAAATAATGAACTCTCCATTACAAATGCACATCGTTCGAGAACCATGGCATTCTATTGCAGTGGATATTATGGGGCCGTTTTCTATTACACAGCGTCAAAAACAATACTTACTGGTAGTTGTTGACTATTTTACTCGATGGGTAGAACTATTTCCTCTTAGAACAACGACTTCATCTGATATCGCTAATATCCTAGTTAATGAAATTATATGTCGTTGAGGTTGTCCTACCTATATTCTTTCCGATAATGGTCCCCAGTTCATTTCTGAACTATTCACTAATATCTGTTCGTCCCTAGGCATTAAAAATAAAAATACTTCTAATTATCATCCGCAGACAAATATGACTGAACGAGTCCATAGAAATCTTAAACCAATGTTAGCACAATATGCTCAAGAAAATCCACAATCATGGGATCAACATCTATCGAAACTTGCTTTTTCTATTCGAACTTCAGTAAATGAAACAACAGGTGATACACCAGCATATCTTAATTTTGGACGTGATCCTAAATTACCTCCACACCTACTCCTAACCACACCGACTCATGATGTACCTCTACTTCCCACATCTCTATCCTCAGAAATCGAAAATTATAAACAACAACTTCGTCATCAATTACTTACATCTCATCAATTTGCCCAAGAACATAGTGAAGTACGCAAACTTCAGCAGAAACATCAGTATGACAGTCATAGTTCTAAATGTTCTTTTAAAGAAGGACAACTTGTTTGGGTTAGCATTCCTTCAGTATTGAAACATGGAAAACTTGATCCTCAGTATCAAGGTCCTTGTCGCATCACTCAAGTTCTTACTCCCTCTTCTTTTATTATTCAGCGTCTCTCTGACGGAGTAAATTTAGGAGTCACCAACATTGATCGACTTAAACCATTTTATGAACCGAATGATATTCGTGTCAACAATACACGAAATACACCAGATCAAACTTTAAATACACACCCACAACCATTGATGAGTATCGATACAAGCAATGCTACAAATATGATTCCTTCTCGCCCGTCAAACAATGATGACCTCTCTCCGTCCACTATTATATCAACGTCCGATTCGAATACATAGACGACCTAACCGATTGAATCTATAGCACCATCTATATCATAACAATGACCTCCCGTTCATGCAACGTTCATTAAATAACCTTTTCCTTTCCTATATATCCGGTCACACTGAGAAAGAATTACCTTCGCTTCGATCCATTGCAAATCTATCACATTAGACACTGTGTATATTTCAACTGTCAAACATGTTTCTAATCCTGCAGATATTCTCATCAATCTGCAATATGTCTGTTAACCCTTTCGTTACTGAAATTTTCTTTCGTTCTGCACCAACTCGAAAAAAATCTCGATTTCGCTCTCTCTTGCGTTCTGCTCTCGATAATCAGCTGAACACGAGTTATATATTCATTCGTTCAGTGCGATAAAAAAATTTTCGAAAAGAAGAATACACTCGTTCATGTGCACACACAGATGATTTGTATCATGTAGGAAGATATCAGAACGCAAAATTTTTTCTTTCCGTTCTCCATGTCATCTACGAGATGACATGCCGTAACGAAAGGGTTAAGCAGTTGTCTGTCAAGAGTTCAATGATCAATCGTACATTTATTGTTGACCCCATCCTTCACTCTCTTTCACCAATCCTATTCATCATTAGATATAACTTATCAGTCGGATAAGCACTGTATTCAAAAAAAAGGAGAAATTAAATCTCTCCCTCTCTCTAACTTATCCATAGCGGGTCATTCATCCACTTTTTCATTTTCCTTACACTATCACACATTGTTTTTGTTTCTTCACTGATATTACGGTTATAATAAAAAGCCGAATTAATCAAAAAAAGGATATAAGTCTAAATCGAACAAGCAAAAATAAAAGAAAAACAACACGTTGTAAGTACTACGTTTCATAACTCCAGAATGACTCTTTTCTTCTTACTGATATTCTTGCTCACTGTATTTCATACGTTTTCTGAAAACATATTCTCCAAAAACACTACAATCGCTCATCCTGAATCTGGTCTGTTCCTAAATTATATCGATCCCTATACTCCATCTGAAATGATTATTCACAATTCTGCTATTTTCCCTATGACTGATAGCATGTGTCACTTCCTTCCACTTTCAGCTGCCGAAAAAATTCCTACTTGTCATATAACCGTTCAACGAACGAAACGTCTCATACCTGTTATTATCGGTTTAGGCTTAGGAGCAATTACTTTCGGAATGTCTGCTTCGAGCGCCATACAAGTCTCAGGTCTACAGAAAGAAGTTGCACTTGTGGGGAAATCACTCGCTGAGCTATCCGATACCACAAAGTTTCATGGAGCTCAACTAGTGACAATTCAGTCAGATCAGATTCAATTAACAGAACAATTACAAATGACTCAAAGACTCCTTGACTTGACTCTATTATTCCCATAGTAGACAATCATTCAGATACTATTAATGCCTTACAAAATCGCCTCTCATTCCTACAAATACAATTTCAACATTCATTTCTGTACCAAGCACTCAGACAAATTCTCCGAAATGAGCTCACTCTTGCGTTTCTAGCTCCATCCGATCTTCACACAGTCGTTTATAGTATTATTCGTCAAGGTAATTTAACTTTTAATCCATCTCTTGGATCTTTACCACTAGCACATATCATTACCCGCCTGCTTATTCGTCAACAAATCAACTTCATTCCTACTACACTTTACTCCACCCCTAATCTCTCTGAAATTGGACGATTAGTAATTACTAGTTTCTTCGTAGTTCCTCGATCTGATGCACCTCTCTTTCTCCTTTATAAATGAATCACCATTCCATTCTTTCACGAGAATGAAACTCTCCAGTTAACCAAACTCCCGAGATACTTCGCCATCAATCCGTCGAATAATATCACTATCGAATGGTATGATCACGACGATCTTGGATGTGATTTCAGATTAATGACAACTTGTAGAAACACTCCACCATTTCGTTTTATGTCAAATGCTTCTTGTTTAGGACAAATTCTCAACGGATTACCCTTATCAAGATGTCACATGGAACCAGTTCCTTCTTTCCCTTTCTTTCTTCGTCAATTCCACGACAACCTTTGGATCACTTCTTCCCTCCAATCATTTCATTGTGTAACAGTTAGAAAGTCCGATCTTCAACCACTCTCTCACCAAGTGTCAAGTCTCAATGAGCAGCTTATTCTTCCACCAGTCGCTCTCATCAACGTAACACCTGGTCACACCATCGTTTGTCCTGGATTCTCACTAACAGGTAGTGCTACTAACCAACATGCTCCCTCTGTAATCATTTTATATAACAACACCTTATTTCTTAATAATGTTTCCGTTCTTAATGTGCATCGCCATATTATGAGTAATAATAGCTGGTCTACAACTAAACTTCTAGAGCAGGAAGTAAAACAAATGATGCAATTTGTTGAGAAAAGATCCTCTAAACCAACGTCCTCTCTTCCTCATCCAATGTACCTATCCGTAATTAGCGTACTCCTATTAGGATGCATTTTAATATGTGCTGCCATTACGATTATATGTTATATTCGTCGCTGCTATTCAACACGCTTGTTACAAGACTTACGTGTAGCCTTACCCCCTCTATCAAATACACGAAACATCATCTAAATAACACCTAATAATAATCCTTCAATAAATAAATAAACATAAACAAAACAAAAAATATTATATATAATCATAAAATATTACCTTTCCTCGCAGAAAATGGCACCTACGTATTTTTATCAACAACATGACTCCATACTCGCATCAATTTGGAACATTCTTAAAAACTTTCATGTAGCAAATTTCTCTTCTCTCCCTTCTATTGACACCACTCTTAATTTAGTCCGTGAATGGCTCCAAGATCATTTCTCTTTTCATCCGCAGCTTCAGACCGCCTTGTCTACTGTCACTCTCCTTGATTCTGCTTCATCCTCGGCTTTTCTCAGACGCAATAATATTGATCCCGATGATGTCATACGTCTTACATGGTCTCTTATCTGTCTCCGACCGTCAACTTATGAATTATTTTTTGAAACTCTTTTAGAAATAAATGAATCCACCTCCTCCCAACTCCACACTACTAGACTCATTCAGCTAGCGTGGACACTTTCTCCAATCTTAAATGCCACCACAGTCAATCGTTTCTCATTCTTACCATCTTCCAATGAAACTAATCCCTCTACCATCTCATCAACAATATCCTCATCGAAAGAAAATTCTACTCCTGATACTTTGGCATCACATGTCTCACATATAACTGCACCAGCACAATCAAACAAAACATTAAAACGGCAATTATCTCATGAAACAATAATTCCACAACCACTTATGTCATTACAACTTGACGTTAATGAACCACCACTTCACAATGCTCCTGCTAATCCAATTCCTCTTATGTCATTCTATGCTTCCCCATGCTCAACTAAATCCCATCTTCAACGTAAACCACGTTTATACAGCACAGTCTGTAGTCAAGCATCACAAGCAAACACTAATACAAGTCAACACGTCACCAATCATCGCTCTGATACATCGTCAACAACCTTCAACACCATTAACTCATCAACACAACAACAGGAACACGCAACAGTCTTCTCACCAAACCACGATCAACCATCTCCTGGATTATCAAGTGCTTTTAATACCGAGATGATCGAATTATCATAGTCAAATAATCGGTTCATATACAATGATCGTCAATCGAACTTTTACTTTCCTTCTCTTTGCGTATTCTTCTCATTTGCTGTCTATCGGTTTCAATTATATTGATCACCAGCAATAATTGTGTACGAGCGTATATTTCGTTTGGTGTTTTTTCTCCTCTTCATTTCATTTTTTTCTTTCTTTCATGATGTTTGTTGTTCATTTCTACATTTGTTTCAATCTGGCATTATTATTTTTTCTCATCTATCTAATCGAACACATAATAGTTCATACAATGTTATACGTTGTCTCTCATCTTCTAATTCACTAGCTATCAAAGTAGTTGTCATTTGTTTTTTTTTCAAATCGTTACTCTATTATCTTCTTAATCACTATCATTGTCTTTGCTCGTGCCGATGCACTCGTATCGCGGCGGATGGGTGTGCGACGGATTCTACCCGTCACTACTCTTCATGACCCCGATCGGGCACATCGGTCATGTTCTAATGTTCTATTCATTAATCATTCTCTCTCGTTTTTCTCTCTGCTGGACTATATATACTGCGTTCATATATTATCGTTATTCATTATTGAAATAATCTCAGAACGAGTGAGTCGTTCCATCACAACCATCTTTGAGACAATAACAAAATTGTTGTTTCTCTTTAGTTTTACGAATTCGAGAACCATATTCATAACTAAACCAAATAATAGTATTCAGTCAAATACAACGTAAAATATTATAATGCGTATCAAGCTAAGTTCAAGCATCCATCTTTATGGATTTCTTCAAACATAGAAGAACTCAATTCGTCAGAAATCAGTTCACAGAAAATTCAATAGTGAGCTATTGTAGAAAGCATGATCAATTAAAAGAACAACATATTTACAGTTCTCATTCTATTAGAGAAAAGAAACAAGATATTATTATTAATCGTAATAGAACCCTATATTATTTATATTTCATTATGATTCCTTTTTTTATTAATGCACTTATTCATAATGTTCTATGGCGTATGCAGATATAGGTTTATATATAAATACTTCTTTAATAACAGATTCTATTTTTTTGTGATCTTGTAGGTAATTATAAGCTTGACTATAATCAACATCAAGAATTTAGTTTAAAAATTTCAGGTTTTCTAATGGATTTAACATATGAAACACTCTATTGGGATGGAAATTTTATCAGGAATAAATTACTAGAAGAAACCGTAACGTTTTTCGAAGTTAGAAAGGCAGCTTATTATTCTGCTCTTCTATTGTACAACATTTTTTTAAAATAATTCTATATTTCAGATGGATTTTCTTCTTCCAGCTAATGCACTATCGCTTCGTGGAGATTCTTTTTACTACTTGGTAGAAGATTTTTGTGGTAAAGAGTCCGTCGAATTACTTAAATTTCAACTGATCGATTCTTCAATGGATTTGATTGAAGTCGATGATATCTTCTCCATTCTTCAAATCGAATCAACTCAAACAACATCAATCAAAGAATTTTTGAGTATTCCAAGCAAAAACAATTTAGGAAACTATTAATTTTTTGTTATGCCTGGTATTCGCGTGAAACTCGAAAAATTTATTCGGTCGCTGCGTGCTCTTCTTTCACCTACTGATCTTTCATCGTCAGTAAACATCAAGCCTTTGACAATTTCATCTGAACTTCTTCAGCAATATCCGTTCTTATTAGATATAATATATTGTCTAGAAAGGCATTTATTAACAGATTTTTCATTGGATTTTATATCAAATATGTTATCAAACATCATATGTTCAAAAAATGCCTTTCGCTATGAACAATCAGTGAAAAAATTCGCTGTCTTCCTATACATTCTAGGAGGCCGTACGGTTTATGAATTCATTCGGTTGAATATTCCAGGATCGATTCCTAGTTTTAGTATTTTACGATCAATTTTGATAACTTCTGAAAAGCATTTCATTGAAGGTGAATTTCAATATGAACGTTTTAAGGACTTTATTGATTCATTCGACTGTAAGTACGCATTCTGTGGAGAAGACAGTACTGCGGTGGTACCAAAAGTTTCTTATGACTCACGTCCGAACTCTTTTGTTGGGTTGGCTTTTCCTCTGAAAGACGGCTTTCCTTGTTCACGCTACTTTTCTACCAGTTCATTTGGTGAACTTGAAACTTGGTATGAAGAAATAGACAAATCATCTCTTTTCAATGTACATGTGATTCAGCCAATATGTCCTATCGGTCAAATATCACCACCGCCATTCCTTCTTGCTGCTTACGGTATCAACAGTAAATATACAGCTAAAGATGTTCTCGATCGATGGTCAAGTACTTTTGATTCACGTATGAATCAAAATATTCGAATTTTAGGCTTCTCAGCAGGTTGTGATCCAAAACAAATGAAAGCAATGCGGGACTCCATGGGATTTGAAGAACATCCTAATCGTTTCGAAATTTCTTTACTTAAAGTGAGTGAACAAGTATAATTAGTTTCATATGAAAAAGAAAATCAATCGGGATTCGAGTAAACGATTATAATTGTACGGATTGATGATTTTCTTCATATTACATAGAGGATAATAAATGTCTTCGGTGTCTATTTATAGGTTGACGAAGTATTTCTTCTCATATAAATCTATTTTATTTCTTGAGAATTAAAAATAATACAATAAACACTTTAAATTATCGTTCTTAGAAAAAAAATCTGAAAATATCTTTCATCAGCTATCACCTATCATTGAATTTTTCGGAAAACAATATTAGTATTCCAGTACAATA